GTATATACTTTACGTAAACCAGTGATCGGCATTGACGGTCAGTGGCTATTGTATCTTGCAGACATGCATTTTTTACAAAAGTACAATGATGGTTATAGATTTTGCTTATTCGCAAAACTTTACTTCACTTTATGGTATTGGCACAAAATAGATATCTTAACAGAAGGGCTAATCGTGTCCAGTTACGACTTTGTTTCCTTTTCAGCAGGCTGAGAGCAGGCTGAAAATAACGAAAGACAGCTCAACTCGAAACTCGTCATAACGCCTAACCAAATTCTTGCTATTCGGGCTTATTTTAACCAAACTCCTCCTCCGTTTTATTTATCTTACCATGCGAATCCACTCAGGAGTGAATTTACAAAACACTAAAACAAAAATCCATGAGGCTGTAAGCAAGATCATTAACGTACGCCAGTTTCTAACAAAGTACGCCATCAATGCAAGCACCAATGACACGTCAGGCAAAGTGAAACACATAATCTTCTTGGAAAGCGGTCGATAACGAGGACGCAAGAGCTCTCGGTAGATAAAGGGTAGAGAGAAATACCGTTCAGCACTGAACCGACAGCGAATTGCAAAGCGAGAGAATGACAAAATTAGTGGAGAATGCCGATGTCAAACCAACAACCACCACTACAAGTACACAAAGACACAACGACAAAAGAAGAGAGTAGTATTTAGAGAGCATTCGCAGGGGAACGGTAAAGACAACTTTGCCAATGAAGACCATCGACTTTGCCAACCAACCATGAAGTGCCTTGTCACACACTCGGTCAAACTAGCTAATAATTGTTTCTTTTGTCCTTCATAATCGGCATATTCGCATTCGCCCCTGTTTATCATACACCGGAAGTTGTAATACTTATCTCTTGGGCGATAATCTGAAGATGGCTTCGAAATAAAGTCAAAAAACGGTGCTATCCAGAAAACTGCTATCGTGGCAAGAGTCTCTCGTCGATTGACTCGTCTGGGCCCGGTGGGCTCAACAAGTAGAGCGGCGGATTTGTATCCCGAAGGTGCTAGTTTAAATCTCGCTTATATTATGTATACGGTTATTGTCTTACATACCCCTTCCAAAAAGCAATGTATACTTAAAAGTATATCTCTAGTATAGCTTCATATATACTTAAATAAACCTTACAGCTATATATGAAGTACCCAAGACATCCCCCAAAGGACGCTTAAGAGTCATGAACAGTATTATAAGCGGCCGATATTGCATGAGGGAGCATACACCACAGGCAAGACCAAAAATAGTGACGATTGGGTAGAAAATGTGAACGCCAATACGACTTCTCATACTTGTCATGTGAATGTTTTATACATAAAACATTCACATGACATTCATTTCACGAGAAAACATTAGCCCAACAATATTGACCTGCTCACCACTGTGTGACTTCATAGCTCAGTGGTCAGAGCACTGCACCAGCACCGCAGAGGTCATGGGTTCGAATCCCGTTGAGTCACCTGATTTTTTCAGGTCCTGAGACGATTGCTTAAATTGTCCAGCTAAGTGCGAAGATCATATCTCATTTAATCTCATTTAAAGAGAAACGTATGCTGTCGATGATTAGGTTTTTTGAAGTCTTTTGTAACGCAGAACCAGTTAATGACTTTTGACATTTTTATTTGGCTATCTATAACTGCTATTTTTTCAAAGGGATAAAAAATGCCACAGTTAAAGAGGTGGATTTCCCGATGATACTTTCACTTAATGGCGTGTTAATTGAAACACTGCATAGATAGGTACTAGCCAGCGATTGTCATAACTTAAATTTTTGTTTTCTTAAAAAAGACCAAGTTCGTATAAATGAGTTACCGATTTTTCTTAAAAGCAATAAAAATTAATTATTCCATTTACAATATTTTTGTAGGTTTTGAAACTGAGACATTTATGTATATAGATCAACTCAACAAAAAAAAATTAAAACATAACGTACGTTGGGTATGTTTCTCGGTAATAATTGTGCTATATTCTCTTCTTGATTAATGCCCCAAGTTAGGATTGAGCTCCATTTTTAACCATAACAGAATGTTTCGTCCAGTAATGACAGGCATTTCGAGGAAGTATTATCTCATTTTTTTCTTTGATCACGGTTCTGGTCAAAAAACGACCAACTTTGTCTTCCTCTCCAGCCACCAGCTTAAAAACCCAAATTTCATCTCATACGATGCAAAGCAGTTTCCCAGGCAGCTTATAAATCTCCGTATTCTGCTTCAGAAAAAAGCGGACAGTGTCATTTTTCTTTGAAGCTTATAAAATATTTTGTCATTTGGACATAAGCCGTTTAACATTCAATCAGATAAATTATATAATGGAGTGATACGCGTATGACACGAGAGCGATACGCGTATCATACCCAAAATTATGTTAACAAATACGCGATATTTTGTCTGTATGTGTCTGTAGTACATCCTTCCAGGTGATGCTTAAAAGCTCGGACAAGCCGAGTTAGATGTTGCTGACGAGGATGCTGCCATACCATTACCGCCGGTCAAAGTCTTTTGGACCATATCATATTTTTCTCCTACTATTAATGGGATTGTGAAAATTCTTATTTCCACTTTAGTGAAGTAAATACTGTTGTAGCGTGTGTTGATGAGTTAGCTGGACAATCTAATGATGGAAGCAGTAACCACAGTGTGTTCTGAGTAAAAAAAAAACACTACAATCCTTGCAAAATAATTTTATATCCAACTTATCTTCCCAGACTAAGTTGTAATTGTAACAAAACGGTGGTCGTTTGTGAAAACGTTTTATTTTAGGTATGAAGACACCAGAAGATCTTTATCGTTAAAGTTACTTAGTCAGTTACGATCTCAGAATTCAGCTCTGGGGTATCAATGGTACCAATGGTTAAAGTGACGACAATAGTGGGAACCTTAATGGTCGCATTCTATCAGAGATATCAATGAGTCCATACGTTATTCTCCTGATGATACAGCTAAAGATTGGCTTAATCAGTTACTCCCTCTCGATGCTGCCATTGTTCATAAGTTTTTGTCTGGTTGTCCACCTCCTGAATCATGTGATGTGTATCCCTTTATAATTTTTATTTTTTATAAAATCAAAACATTTGTTTCGATTTTGTCTTTTTGCATTATTGTTATTTTGTAAAGAATTAAAAGATGTTTTTCGTGTTTGCACTTTGTTAGATAAACCCGAGAGACACGGGCAAAATCTCGACTTAGGTCCCGAGTTGCAGTGATCTGCTTTCTAGTTCTTTCGAAGTTTTAAGTACAATGAAATCATTTTGTAGCTCGTTTTTGCAGCCTCACAGTACGAATACACGAAGCGAAAGTAACACATTTTTATTTTGCCTAAAAATCTCAAATTACCTTAAATCGAGTGTGAAATATTTCTTTTTTTTTTTGAATTAACCCCAAAAGTCCATCGGCAACAACAATTTTAGAAGCATCAATCTGCTTACCATACGCCATATTGACATAAATCGCATCACACACTCTCATAAATTGACTTTGATATATTACATTTATGCATACACTTCACTTATCCTTTACTTACGATTTTGGATGTAAATTTCTGCTGATAAAAGTCAAAACAATGTTGGCTTTCTTTTGAACATCTGAAATGTCGCTCGCGAGATCGTTTTTGCCAAGTATTTACAATTTGTCTATAAATTTTTCACCCTCTCGAAAAAATTCACAGTTTGGACAGCAGCATTCAGGTCAATATATGAATTTGTAAAAGATTTCCATTAATTCCATGTGATTGTAGTTTAGTTTCTATCATGCATTAGAAAATTACTATGAAACGATCAACATTCAATTCAGACAGTGAGCTTGACTATGTTAACTCAGTTGGCTATCAGTCGAAATCGGTCAAACAAATCACAATAAAACAAAAATTCAAATGAACCAATTTTAAGATAGCAATTGGACTCCCTTATACGTCTGGCAACCCCTCTTATCAGTCGAGACCATTCCAGATTGTCCACTAATCTGGCCATTGACCAATAAAATAAGCGTTTTTGGCGTTCATAGACTCCTTTATCAGTCGAACTAGTCTAGCCACCCCGCTTATTAGTCGGTTATTCCAGGTCAATTAAAATTCAACTGATCTGGTTACCAACAAGATATTCATTGGATTAGTCATTAGTTTTCAATAATAAATAAAGCTGGATTTTATCACGAAATAAATGCGATTATAAAGTAAGAATAATTAATGAATTTTTAATTAAAATGAATAGGTAATTTTGAATTTCAAACATCAGTCGCGCGACGGACTTGACATACGCTAGATCCGCCCATGGCCTGGCTGTATTTCGGAGATTGGTGGCAGAAGCTGAGTAGCAATTACACTTTTTGTATTGAAACATAACCTACGATATTTCCAAGAAAAAACTTTTTTTCTCTGGTTGCATACAATAACACAATATGTTCAATTTATTATATGGCAAGCGTCAATTTCGGAAAAATGGCGCGCTTTGATTGGCTCAGAAACATTTTTGCCGGTCCATTTTTTTCCCGTAATCGACCACGGTCCAAAACGCGTAATTTTACAGTTAAATGTAAACAAACTTTGTAAAGCAAACAAAAACGCAAAATAGACGAAACAAAACCCTTTACAAATGTGATTCGAAGAAAAACACTTGGAAAACAGTTAAACTATCTAGAAGATACAATTTGAAACGATTTATTTTATGGACGAAAACTAGAAAAGTGAAAATCCACCCGCAAAACAGCAAGGACGAGAAAGAAAGCAAGCTTCATTTCAGGTAAAATAATGCCATATAATAATCCTTTTAAAACCTCTCTTTCTCGGTCTTTACTGAGAAGTATTGGACCTCTGTCTTTTATTGTGATTAAATGACTTTAGGGTCCTTGTATCATTATTAATCGTGGTCAATAAGCACATTACTAATACAAAGTAGCTGTTTCTGCATTTAAACATGTTCAACAGGATATTTTTTGTATTCTAATTGATATGTCACAACTAAATGTCTATATAATCTAAATGAAAACAATAATCACAATTGATTAAGAAAAAGTTTATAATACTGCTTAAACACACTCAAATTTTTGAAATGCACGACAAGTTCACGAATCTTACAATTCAAATTTTCGAATTTTGTCAATTGCATCACTTTTTCATAGAGAAAAGTGTCGTTATCAAATCAACTGATGACTTTTTAAAGCTGCAACAGCATGCATAAATATAGGAAACAAATGAGATTATGCTAAAGCTCGTACATGAAGTTGATGCACAAAGTATTTCATTTGCGTTATTTCCAAATTTATACATGATTTAGTTAGTTCAACGTGGGGAGGGAGTACAGGAAGTGAATGAGCTGTTTCAACTTGAACGGCTGACAGAGCTTCTGAATAGTCATTGCTTACGTGAAGGTAGTTTTATAATTTAATAAGAAAAAATTTCAAATATTTAAAATTACAAGTTTTGTTATGAAAAGTTATTACCAACTTTGCTAAAATAGTCAACACATAAAACAAGTAGGTTTAACTTAATTTTTCTTATTATATTACCACGAACGATGTTCAGTAAAATAAAAAGTTTCAAAAGACCATTTAAGAGAAACGGCAATGCTTAATATAAAAACACATATTCAAAATCATGGTGGTTTTTAAAGCTTTGTTCCGTTTTAAAGACATTAAAAATTCGATTATTGAGAACTCTTAACCGGTGTATATGTCCACAGCTTTTATTTCAAAACATTTTGGCTGCATTTGTTTATGAAAAGGTTTTATACTTGATTTAAATTGATACTGAAACTTCGAGATCAACTACTGCAATCGGACTTTTCCTCGGTTATTCTTTCATTATAACTATATTGTATGATGATTAGAAGTTCTTATGTATTTTGCTTTACATATTGTTTACATACTACTTCCCCCTGCAAAAACATATACTATCAAAAGCTCAGAGCTTTCTATATATCTGAACATACTTGATTTGTAGTACAGCATGGACAAGAGCTGATGCATCCCAAAATCGATCCAATAAGACTGATAATCCCCATCGAAGCAGAGGAAAATGTGATGATACCGACCACTGCATATTGACCCGTGCCATTATCACACCTGTCTACATTGCAGTCATACAAGAAATTTACATGGCAAAATCTTCAGCGTTCAGTCAAAACAAGAATTTACGTAAGGAAAAGGAAACTTTAAAATACTAATGAAAATTTTGGAGTGAATTTATTGCACGTACTATTTCTTTCCATTTTTTAAATAACGCCCAGTTGCATGTTATACAAAATAAGCATTTTCTCGTGCTTGTTTACATAACTTAATGTTTAGTCATACTAGATGCATTTGAGAGTGTTTAACATAAAGTAATTAATTAGTACACTGATCTAAATATTTCCCACACATCCTTGTTAAGACATTTAAATGTGCACCATCTTTCCCGACCATTAGACCACAATCACTTCATACTAAATTTGTGTTGAACATGAAGTGTTTAACATAAAGTAATTATTCAGGACACTGATCTAAATATTTCCACACACATCATCGTTAAGATATTTTTAAATGTACACCATTTTTCCCGACCATTAGACCAAAATCCCTTCATATTAAATTTGAGAAAAATAAAAAGTAAAAATATTCACACCATAGTGACATTTCAATCTTACCGTAATAATACGAATAGTAATTATGGCAATTGTCCATTGATTTCCATTCCCCAGCGGAAAAATACAAACATGCAAAACATCCGATTGTGCCAATAACGTTCAAAGAAAGAGTAGCTCCCAACTGAAACGAATATTTGAATCTGACATGGCAATTTTTCAAGTTTATAAGGGAATTTTGAAAATGAAAAACTGTGCTAATGAAAAGTTGGAGAAATGGGTTTGAGGCAAATAAAATAACACCAAGACTTAACAAAGGAAAAGAGAATCAGCCTAACACGAAAATACGTCTTCATACAATAAGCCTTTTTCCAAAATATAAGATACATCATCCTCGCATATAAACATACATAGCCACAACTTACCAAGGCTGACGCTTTCTTAATACCAGTTATGATGCATAATACTCCAGGTGCAATCATCTAAAAAATAATATATGAAAATCAAAAAATACTGTAGTCCCTCTGCTAAGAGGTTAAATCTTGCCATTACTACTACACAAGCATATGCCGTGTAATTTATGACTACAATTCATAAATCTATTTAGACAATGATTTTCATTTATTGTTTTTACTTTATATAAGAAGAAACGTATGTGCATAACCTAAGCTATTTCCCGTTTTGAATTCTTTGAAATCTACTCTTTTATAGGGATTGTAAAACTGAGCTGTGAGCAACAATCAATTAGTGAACTTCCATTTGCCCTTGGGACGTTAATGCTTTCAAGTGTTATCAATATTAGTATCCATTATTTGCAATCGTTAGTTGCATTTTTCGGCTACTAACGTATACGCTATTGTGTTAATTTTAAAGATACAAAGTGTAACTAATCTTTAAGAGATTTATGAACAAAAGCAAATTTAAAATATTTTGTTTGTTAATATATGCATATTTGCATCGGTTCACTAATAGTATATCACTGACACTCAGCTCAGTATCCCAGATGATTTGAACACATTGCGGATTTTAACCCGCATAGCGAGTTTTCTGAAAACTGAACTTGATAAGTGAACTTTAAATACTTAATAGTAAGTTTTTTTAAATTAGCTGGACCTGTTGTATGAAAGCCATTTAAGTCAAAATTCAAGTCTTTTTCCTGTCTTTTAAAGATATTTTATGTGCTACACACCGAACGTTTTAATTTTGAATAAAATTTTTAAAATTTTGACTTTACATCTTTGATACAACCTGCCTTAGTTTAGTAATCATGATTTCATTAAATTTTGTTTTAAATACGAGGTATAGACTCTAGAAGCAGTTTTGTTAGTGTAGTTTTGTTCTTATAAATGTATGCTTATTATGCATGCCCTTACAAGTATTTGTGTAAGTACTTATTTTTACAGCTTGTATTATATATCTTTTTGTAACACTGGCATTAATTGTATGACCTTCAATTTTCAATTTTCATGTATTTAATGCCTAAATATCTTGGGGGCTAAAATTCCACACGAACTATTAGTATATATAGAATTTCACTGATCGACATTTTATTTGTGAAATGTTTCACGTGTGAAATGCTTTCATATGTGAAATATATTCTTATGTGAAAAAAAATCATATATGAACTCATTTCACTTATGAACACATTTCACATGTGAAACACTTCACAAATGAAGTATTTTAATTTCACATAAGGATTTCACATATCATTTAATATATGAAATCTTAATGTGAAATCCTCATAAAAGATTACTGCACAAACGTACATTTTTCTGTATTTTGAACTTCAATGAGTATAACATGCTCTAAAACTCCTCTTGCCGAATTTGTTGTCTTTACATGTGTTTCTAGAAACTTCCACGAGAAAAATATTCTGTTGTTAAATAACAAGATGTTTTGCTTTTTATGAGATTGCTATAAATCCTTTTATTTATTTCTATATGAAAGATTTGACATATTTTAAGAAAATTGCTTTAAAATAAGAAACATGCATAGGAAAATCTTTTCTTATATTTTGAAGAAAATCTTAAAATTTTTTAAAGAAAATTGGTAAGAAAAAATTTTCATATTTCTTAAGAAAAAAATTTTAAAAAAAATTCGCAAGAAAAGAAATCTTAATATTTCTTAAGAAAACTAGTAAGGAAATTTTCTTATAACAAGTCCATTATTTCTTAAAATGAGAAAACATTTCCCTGTGTATTCGTGAAGGGGGTACTTAACAGCTAGAAGATGTGCACCAAGGGTCCACATACGCAAGCAGTTATTGACTGGGTGTCCAAATCCGCTGGGTAATGTAAACACAAATAGTTTCTCTCAAGTTTCGCTATGACATCTGAAACTTTTATTCTCACACTACTTACTTTATTACTGGTCTTTTAAAACGTTTCTGAGAGCTTTAAAAAAAATTTTCACTTTAAAGCCAAGTGTATCGTTGAAAAGCTAACCGTCTATTGATTATCCTATTGTTAAGTTCTAAAAAGAACTGTTATTTATGAAGATGAAATATGAATACGCCAATGAACTCAGAGGTCAAGACTAATAACAACACCCCATCCCAAGACCCCACTAATCTGTGGAATAAACATCAACAAAAATAGGACTTTTGTAAGGGAACGTAACTCATATATAATATACAATGATTTGACGGTTTTCTTATTTCTACTCCTTGTTAATCCTGTTTTCCAATTAAACTTTACTATTTAATTTTTCAAGTCAATAGTTGTTCAAATCAAGCAATGACTCGTTTAACAAAGAAGTAAATAGCCATAACATTTATAAATTCGTAGTATTGTTGTTACCTTCAAATACATTAGCAAATTTTCTCGTGCAAGACCATAGCAAATTGTATTCAAGAGTGGATTACAACGAATTTTTATCAAAACATATTTTTTTAAACTATCGCTTCGACGTCATTTAACTTATTGTCAATTTCTCAAAATCATCAAATATTTTTACTCTAGTACTCATAGGGCCTGTTCACACTGGTCGTTTAGATCGATCTGAGATCGATCTAACGTAAAGCGAGCTAAGTGTGAACCTTCGCTAAAATTTGCGATCGATCTTCAGATCGATCTTAGTCAGATCGCTTCGAAAGGTGGTCTGAGATCGATCTGAGATCGGTTTATATGTGAACGTAAGTGAGCTTATTTCGATAGAACAGTTTCGCTCCCATGCCGTTTCCGCAAAACGGAGACGCAAATTTTTCTCAAAATTTAAAATCAAAACAGAGAAAAAAGCTTGGAAAATGGCGCAAAAACGAGAGGTTTGGTCAGAAAAAGACTGTTTAGCCCTCCTCTCAGCGTACGGTACAGAAGAAATTCAACAAAAGTTGAAAGGTACCCACAAAAACGCTGATGTTTATAAAAAAATCAGCATGAAAAAAAAAGGATAGATTGTGATTGGACGCATGTAGAACTAAATTTAAGCATATAAAATCTGAATACAAAAAGTTCAAAGACACATTATCACGATCAGGAGCTGGGAGAGGCAAGGAACCTAAATTCTTTAACGTTATGGACAGTTTCTTGGGTGAAAGACCAGAAGCAAGAAGTCTAAAAACGTCATCGATACATCTGATGAATCAACGTGTTCATCAGCTGAAGCTGAAATGGAAAGCATTAACGTGCATGATAATAATGGTAAGTTATCGTGGATGAGTTGATATCGAGTGTTTTTTTTTGCAAAAGAAAATATTGGTTTTGCGTTTAATAGCAGACGAGCTTACAAGAAAAACGGACATGGGAGAATCATTGAAAAAATGTCCTCAGTGCGATGAGTTTGTGGAGCTTAGGACAGCAGGAGCCCATATTGGAAACAGCACTGCAGTATACGCTGATGATGACAGACTCGTTTGCCCATATTGCGATTACATTGAAGCAGGTAAATAGTAGAGCATTGCATGTGTGTACTATATTTTGTTTTATTACGTCGTAACATTTATGAGATATGTAGATGTCAGTAACGCAGATGAGAAGTTACCTAGTGAAGCAAATGAGGAATCCCTACCATCTCAATATGAAAACAAATCAATGCCAAGGAAAAGAATACCAAGGGGAAAAGCAAAGCCCTCCAGCATGCAAGTAACATTCAATAATGCAATGAAAGAGCACAACAAATATCTCAAGGAGTCTGATGAAATGTTTTTGTCAGAAATGACAAAAGAAGCAGATAAAGAGCGAGAGTTGCGAAAGGAAGAGCTTAATGTTTATAAGGAGTCAATGTCACTTCTTGCAAATGCAATAGCAATGAGGTCTCAGCCTGTGCAACAACCATTCTACAATATTCACCACAATGCTGAAGTCAACAAACATATTGCAAACTTTGATCTAATTTAAGAACATGAGTAATTTAGCTATCATCAGCTTATTGTGTTAACAAAAACTCAGTTAAAGAATTTCTAATTTGCTCTGCACTTGTGTCTGTATTCTGTAAAACAAATTCTGAAATTTCATCATGAGGAATAAGTTGAACATAATCTGCAAAAAGTTTGTCAGCTCTACTCTCACAAATATTGTGTACAACACAACATGCTGCAATTCTCATAGGCAAATGATCTGAATCTGTTTTTTAAACGGCCAAATGCACACTCCACAACTTGCCTTGCTCGACTTATGTAGTAATTAAATTTCTTTTGAGCAGGACTGAGATTGCCATCGTTAGGATGCCTCTTCATCAACCATGGTAACAGTGGATATGCTTGATCACCAATAAGCATGAATGGTACATTGCAACCACATATCTCTTTTCTTCCCTAGAGTATATGAAGACCATGAATTTTCAAGTGGCTATTATTAAATATGCAGTAAAATTTGCCTCTGCCCTAAGATAAGCTTTTTATTATAAGAACAGAAACTTACATTTGGGAAAAGTTTTCCTGCTTCAGCTTTTGAAAACACTCGAGTTTGACAAAACTCTTGCATCATGGACTCGACCTGACCACTTTATGCAAATGTCAGTGAATCTTCAAAATTTTTTAAATAAACATTTTTTACTTTTTGAGTGTGTGTAATTTAATTCACTTTGTGTAACTTACTTACTCAACTAGTTAAAACACATGTCTAAATTAATAAGAAACCAATTTTACATCAGTCACTGTTAAACTCCCCCATGGGATCTAAAAATTGTTAGAAGGTGAAAAATGTCAGTTGCATAACAGGGAGGCAAAAACTTATTAAGTCAACCTTGACAAAAGCAGTACGTTTTGGTACCTGTATTGATGATCAACAACAGCTTGGAGAACAACAGAGTAGAATCCTTTTCGATTGTAGTAATCTTGTGCAGAATTTGAAGGTGCTACAATTTGAATATGAGTGCCATCAATGGCTCCAGCGCATTGAGGGAAGCCCCATGTCGTTAGAAAGGCATCAACGATACTCTGCAGTCTATCGCCCGTTGGCCAAAACAAGACGCATTAAAACATCAACAATAGCTTGGCAAACCTCGTTCACGATTTCACAGGCTGTACTTTTTCTTATACCAAAACGCCAAGCTAAAGAACGCAAATCTTCATTGGTAGCCAAATGCCAAAGATAAATTCCTACTCTTTTTGGCACAGGGATAGCCTTTCTGAAATTTGTATCTTCTCGCAAAAGAGTGTCATAGATCTTGTCGCAAATGAAATCGAATGTTCCCTTAGACATACGAAAATTTTGTGGTCACAACCCATCATCTTTCCACAAATCGATAGTTTTTTCCCAGAACAAACCGGTGCAGATGCTTGCATCCACCCAGAAACGTCTTTCACTCATTAATTTATTTCCTAGAGCGCCAATAAACCAAAAATAAAAGTGGCCGTCCCTTTTTACTTCGCTGCTTTCTCAGTTTCAAAAAATATTTCTTTCTTCTTTCACGACGCATTCGCATCTTTTTGTGGTATTCAGATGTAATATTGAAAATGGTTGCGATCACTTCGTCCGCCATATTTGGATTGCAATAATATAAATATTACACTTTGTTGTCAAGGAAACTAGCTCGGCTTATTTGAACGCTCACAAAATTGAGCTTGGTCATTCACAAGATCGATCTGAGATCGATCTTCTCGGATCGATCTTAAAGCGAGCTAAGTGTGAACAGGCCCATAGAAAAGATCTTTATGACGTTGTCATTAGACACAAACTGCTCTGATAAATACAGGTTACACGCACAATTTCATTATGCATTCCTTAGTATTCATCTATGCGAATATATAACAATAACATCTATACATAAAATGCTTCAGTTTTCTATGTTTTAAACTCGATCAGAATCAATGAGTTGGTGATTAGCTGCTGCCCGCATATTAATTACGCACGAACCAAACATGCCTTTACAAAGCAAACAGAACTTTTGTTTATTTCTCGTTCGATCATAAACAAAGTTCAATCAAATGATGTGTACTTATAATGTATAGATTTATCACGTCAAATTCTCCTTATTTAAGATTTATGAAGTAGCTTGTTCCCTGTTTACTGAAAAACATATATAAAGACACTTTGACGACACTTGTCTTACAGTACAATGGCTTCGCTTGTGTGACGACGCCAGTAAATGAATTGTCTCAGACAAATATTGTGTTTCATATGAAACAGCATGGATATTTTGACAAGATTTAGAAAGTCTCAGTCATCAATGGATTTGTACACTATACTTTTCATATTCTAGTTACTTCAGTCGAGACACGTATAATGTAAATTATTAATTCACACTATAACAACGCTTGCATGATACATAACTTAATTGCTAAATTTTGATATTTTTGTTTCCTGTTGAAATGAACTGGGATAAGTAATCTAAAAAATGGCATCTTGTATTTCTATGTTAAATTTGAACATTATTTTGCTTAGCAACACACATAAATTGAACACGTTGACACGTTAATAATTTGCCAAACATACGTAAAGAGAACACGTTACTGCTCCAAGTCCAAAATATCCACTCGCATCTTCATTTCGTATAAATCCACATATCAAAGTTGCTGCGGTCAAAAACAAAACTGTACAACCCATTCCAACAAAAAATTTCGATCCCTGTGTGCTTAGTGCCATTTTCACAAACCGTATTTGTAATAACAGAGATATGAATAGCGGAAACCACCACGTGGAATAAATTGAATCTTTTGTTGTGACGTTCCTGTTCAGTGATAACTGGATAGGATACTTCAGAATAAAGATCTCGTGTGAAGTCTGGGACGGTTTATGCAGTATCTTCGGATGGAATTAAGAAGCGTTTAACGAATAATTACTGTTGTTTTGAATTTCTTTCACCCGTGATTGTGTACTCCACTTCTTTTTTAAGACAAGTTTAGGTAAAACATCTCTCGACCATATTCTTCAAAATGCTTCATCAATTCGTTGACAAAACTCAAATCTGTGGCATGGGTTCTTAGTTTATCTAAATGGATCTTGAGGTATTATGCTATAAATACCATTCGGATATCAATATCTTCCATCACCGTGATCTGTTGGAATTCGACCGATGGGTTTCTGGTTGACTAAATTTGCAATTTCAGAATTGTATCACCAAGAGCCTTTTTGATGAATATCTTCACAATTTTGACCATGGACTCTGTACATTCATTCTGGTTATGTGCAAGAGGTGTTATGAAAGGCCATTTCATACAGCGGTCTGCACAAAATTCTTAGAGCTGTTTTACAACCCATTGTTTAATCATAGCCCGTAACTCGTGTCTGCTCCAACCATTTGAGAACTACGAGTATAAAAGTAGCTTTGGACATCCTGTGAAGGAAAGGAAAGTACTTGCATAGGTTCCAAAACACCAGCATTTACAGCCAGTTTACAATGTTTAGCACGGGTGTTAAGACATATAAAAATAACGTCGTGGTGCTTGCATGTTTTATTACGACCAACTTTTACGTTGATAGGACCAGAATAATCGGTAAATTTCTCGATGGTAAATTTAATGGTACAGTCGATGGTAAATTTGCCACAGACATTTGTAGCAAGTCGTTGGTAAATTTGCCATCAACTGAATTCCTACTTTTGCTTCGATTTTCGGCAAACTCATTACCTGCTTTTGATTACTTTTAAAATTCTGTGAGCTTTGATAATCCAGTATTTTATTATGCTTTTAGCTACATTTGCTGCAACACAGTTGTGGCCAACTTCATGAGCTTAATCATTATGATCTTTGAGACATAATGATCATCGAGACTATGGATGGATCAACACGATTTTCAACTCGAATTATATATTTTTTCGACATAAGGAGAAAGTGTTTTAAATTTTCATTTCTTTAATCTGCCAAAGAGGTTTGACTGTGCTTGCTTGATCCAATATATTTCTGCTTCGTGAAGCTCTTCGTAAGTTAAAAAATAAGCTGTAATTTTGTTAAGATTCTTTTCCATTTTGCATATCGTTCACAGTCGAATATAGGTTGTGCAATCATAACAAGACAGGTTATCGTTACTTTACTTCTCTCTTTGTTGACTTCTTTAGAATAAGTTACACCTGTTACTATAGGCCAATATTTTTCAGTTTATCTTAAGAATCATAATCCATTGATTCGTCTACCATTAAGCGCTCTGGGTGTGGTGCTTTTCGTAAGATCATCTGCAACATTTTTATCAGTGTGACAATGATGCCAATGATAAGCATTTAAATTTCACTGAATTTCTCTTGCTCGGCATTTGACAAATGGCGTTGTATGCAAGGGACATTCCTTCGATCCAGGCTTAAGTTACTCTGCTGTCGGAATAAAGATTGCTTGGTAAAATGTCACCTAATGTGGGAACAAGTTCCGAATGACATACGGGATGCATCGAAGAATGTAATTGGCTGTGGGTTGCCTATAACATCAGTAGGAGTAAGGAGATAGTGGGAGTTTGACTTTATAAATTTCTCCATTTTCCTATTGAATTCATGCGATAATTCTTCATCCCAAATGATACTTCACATGCCAAACTCTTACATATCAATTTTAACCTTCACCAACATTGAGATCAAACATGCCTGATAAATTACTTAGTATAAATAATTTTCTCATCTGTAAAGGCTATATGCCAGATGTGCATTTTCTTCCTTTAAGCTTTGGTCAAACGAGGGCAACATTTGCATTTAACATCGGTCATCGTACATCATGCAAAACATTTTTTACAAATATCTATTATGAGTTAAATTTTGGATATGATGTCATCGGATAAAAATCTTTGCAGAGAAATCTCCGTTTCTGTATTTTTATATGTAAGTACAGGAAAAAAAATATGAGCGAACAATCATGCCTCATTATTTTAATAATTCAGCATATTGCATTATATTCTATATTGTAATATTACATGTGGCACTTTAATGTAATAATTCCATTACTGCAATGTGTGCTTAGTGTTACGGAAAATTGCACAGCAAGACATTGGTTTGCCTATGCGCACATCATGTATGGTCTTTACTTGAATATTCTGACCTTAAAATTACTGTACATACATACAGAGATTAAAGCAATTAGAACTTCAAATAATTTAGTAAGTCGACATATTTTATAATATATTATATTACAATTTATTATTGTTGCATATAAGCAGGTGTACATCTTGTGTTTCAAAAGCTAAAGTCATTATCTCTGCACTTTGGCGATAGCCTGTAGTACACATTGTATTACTCTGTACTTTTACCTATCAAAGGGAGTCATTTGACTTTGGCTCGCTCAGTATAACACTGGCATTATCATGTTGAGATTTATATACAGAATTATATTTAAAAATAGCTACGCAAAGCGCACATGTGGTTAGCCACAAAATAGACGGCAAATACAATGAACATTTGACTTTGAAATATTCCAGATTGCAAAAATGTGTTATGAACTCTATCTTCAGTCTAATGACCGATTGAAATAAGCCTTTCCAAATCAGGGGAGCACATACCAAATAGTTTGGTAGATGCTGAACATGTTAGTTTTTGACTTTAGTAGTAGAAGTGAAGTAAGTTAATCGACCTCTCTATTAGAACTGGATATTGCATAAGCACTGTACTTTTTGAAAATCGTTTCTATGCTCGTATAATTATATAATCCTATACACATTTAATATACACGACAACTTTTTTAAAAATAGACATGTTTCGACATCTCATGATGCCATCTTCAGTATGAATGAAATAATAGGTGATACAGGGTTTATAAAAGTAATATGATACGTAAATTAGAACAATAAAAGGAAATAAGATAATATAATGAGGAGCGTCCGAGCGTATTATAAACTAAATATTGTATTGAATTTAAAACTTGAACATTGAGGTCAGGGTTAGTTTTGTTAATGTGGAGTGCTTTTCTTTTAAGAAGTTTTTACTTGTTTTGATGCAAATTTTGGCTATTTCTTGCAAAATATAATTGGGCTAAGTTTGGGCTACTTTTAAAGGTAGCTCGGGCGGGTTTGCAGGCTACCCATCTAGCAACACTGGAACTGGCATTGTAATTGTACTGCAACGTTTCAAGTCTGAACTGAAGGAAATGATGACAATTAAACGCAACAGTTACTGTGATTTCTACAAACATGATTCTTTGCGGTGACATTTGTCTATTTTTACTATGGAATTGCTTTTTTCTTCCTAACCATGCTACGTGCATGGACTTGGACGATGAAGAAACAAATTTCGATAAACCCAGTCTGCCGAGAGGGCATTTAAAGCCTCTTGGATCACATAAGGAAGCAAATTTCATCGACGAACTGTACGACACTCCATCAGCTTCGGATTTTGGAATGATTATGTTAAGATTTCAAAACCTGTTGTACTGAGGGTGCCGTTAAGGAGTCCAACGCATTCAAACTGTGGACGAGCAAATATTTGGATGATACTTATGGCAACTTGGAAGTAAGATTAGAAAGTAAAGTAGAAACGTCAGGAAAAGTCCCTATTGGGGCCAAAGGACTTGGAAGAGACACTATTGGTTAGTATTTTGACAACTCATCCGTACCTAAGCTAAAAAATCATTGCTGTCATCAGCAATCTGACATTGAAAGTTATCAATATTGAAAGATTAGTGTGCATATGTGATATAAGTGCATCCTGATAAGTTCACATAATGCTGAGTACTTTATACTTAAATTGTGCATTAAATTCCTTTCATCACATAACCATGATGATCATGCCAGTATGACCTGCACTTTCCTTGTTTACATACTATACTAGAATATATAGACCTATATATATAGACCTATATAAATCCCAATTTGTACCTGTATGAAATTGGGATTTGATGAAATCTTTGAATTAATTCTTCAGTTACGAGGCCAGGGCAAAGCAAAATAAATTAGTAGTTACTTTTAAATTCTAAATAGCTTTATAGGAATGCTATTGGCTAAGAATTCCGAAAGAACATTTAACCATTGTTTCATTATCACTACCACATATGGATCTAGGATTTTTCCAATGTCAATACCAAAACTTCAAAGGAAAATTAAATATTTATTGTTTAAGAGCAATACAAATCCTAATTTTTAAACACTCCTTATGCCTAAAAACAACACATTGATATTATTTGGAAAACCTCTAAAGTGAACACCCCTCAACAGTTTTCCAAACATCAGAGCTCTTTATCATTCCTAGAAACACTAACTTAATTGTTGTTCTGACACAGAAAGCTTTTAGAAATTCTTGCTAAGCAGTTGAATCTAGGCTCTACAGGTATGCTTTCTCACAGTTTTTACCTGTATGATGTTCAGTTAGAAATGCTGACCATCTCCATAGCATTTCATGGATGTGATATTCCTCAAGTTCCCCATCATCCTAATTTGTTACCCTTTCCTTATGATCAAATATCACTTTTTTAACTACTGTACATTTCAGAATAAATACTTTTTCTTTTGAGAAAAATCCAACATTTTTTTTGACTAGAGAGGAAATAATGATGATCATAGTAAAAGCTTTCATATAAGAACAGCGTAATGGAAGTTATATTTCTTAATAAAAGTATTTTGTATCTTAATGTAATGCTTGTAGTTCTATTTTTTTACTAGACCATTCTTTTGTTGATGCCAGGGAAGGCATGCTATAAATGTAAATATACTAGTTGCATTGAATCTGACAATATAAACAGAATCCATTTAACATACCTTAGGTACTCGTATTAACATGAAATATACATAGATGATGACATGTAGTAAGAGGTCTCAGATTTTCATAACAAAGATCTTCTCGCATAGGCAAAACTGTTTATCTTGAATTCCAAACAATGTATTTCTTCATAATCAGCAGAAAAATTATTAAATGAACATTAACAATACCTTGGTGTTTCGTCCAATGCCTGGGATTATCAACATGCTTAGGAACACATTTTTACTCATCAGAAAATGTTTTTCAACATGGACAGCTCTTATGAATTTCTGTTAAGCAATCTGGTTTAGCAAATGGAGACTCACACATTGAGAGTTAAGTTTAATAAAGGGAACATATGGGAATCAATGATTTCATGAATGTGAAATAGCTCAGATTTACCGTGCCGTGCAAAATATATAAAGAAATAGCTTCATTTATCACAAATTCATAATCATTCGTAATAATCAACTCCTTCTTAAATAATCAATCTTAGTCTTTTCAAACCTACGTAGAACAGTGTATTGTATAATGATTAGCCATTTATTATAAAATGAGTATATGAACCAAAAGCCCCAAACATTTGTCGATATTAGAATTGATAACACCTTGTGGCCGCACATTTGTTCGTCTCTTGAAATTCATTTTTGAAGGAAAGTAGGATCTGCTGATATATTAACCAAGGTTCTCCCATGATCCAAAAATCGTCGATTTAATTACTATATCTTTTCGCTATATTTATTCATATACTTGCATGAATTGACTTTATATTTATAGCCATGCGCACGTTCGGATGATCCTCTTGCTCTTTGGTACGTATATTTTTTAGAGCCACATGTTTTCATAGCAATGATTTTTCCTTTCAACAGTAATGAAAAAAAAATGTTGGCTGAACGAATGATGGCAGTTGTTTAAGACATTTAGAAAAACTTCGGCTGAAGGTATCTACGTACGCAGAATAGTAATATTTGCAAAACGTGAACACTGATTTAACTCAACAAGCTGCTTCTAAATTGTACGAAACGCATGAAAGCCTTTACCATCAAAGGACCATGTGTTTTACCCCATTGCAACACCATCAATTTGCTTGTAAAGTTTACATGTAGTTGGAATATTGTTTGAGTTTTTAAGCTTCTTGTTCCGTAAATTATTTGAGAAGGTTCGTCCCTCATTAATTGTATTTTTTTATTATTAATGGTTTCAGTTTCTCGTCAAACATTTTGTTAGAATAATTAAATGTACCAGACACTGAGAGAATTGGTTCTATAGCCCTTATTCTTTTATGTGTCATAGGAAAGCCATACATATTTTGTAGACCAGATCGCTTTAAATATTTGTTTCACAAAATACTGTACGTATATTACAGAATTTTTTTATCTTTAAACATCTAAACATATTCGTATAGTTATGAAATTATTTAAGTGACTAGTTATTGTTTGTATGTATGTATTGTACATGACATCTAACCATTAAACATTCGTTTGTCAAGCCCCAGTCAAGCAACACCCCCTCCAATTTAAAATAGTCAGTATCAGTCAGAGTCATCCACTGACATTTTTGCTATGAGACTTAACTGTACAATGAATTTCCTACGTTTATTACGGTTACAATTGGTATATATCTAGTAAAATCTGTCGTCTGAGTATTACAAAAACATTAAAAATTAATACAAAAATTATTAACAAAGTTTGTTATTTCTAGATACATTGCAATTATTTTTGTATTCATTTACTGAAAAGAACAATGAACAGAAATTATTTTCTAGAGAATGTATTTGATAGTTTTGCTGAAAGTTATGCATTGTATAAATAAATTATCTGCTGAGTACTTCACTATTTAAAAAGATGATTATGGTAATACGTAAGAATGGTTGTATGGTAATGATTTTTTGATCTTTCCCGTAGATTTAAATCATGTTTATAATCATTTGAAAGTGATACTTTTACAGGTTTTATCCTCGGTTTTTTCAGTCGATTAACTTGTTAAAAATATTACCATGCTTATAAATAATTTTGCCTATGTTTTTTCATTCACATTTTGATGATTTAGAACAAAAAAATATTTTAAATTTTGTTAGGAAATTTTGTTTCGAAATACCAAGACAACGATGCTTATATTATTTCGGAGCTACCTACGCCAATGTGGAAAGATATATTGGTACCATCATGTTTAACATGTGGCTCATTTTTACACAGTTTCGTAGAGATTGATCTATGGATGAGTTCAAAAGGAAGCCATAGTCTTCTACATAAGGTTTGTTGGAATTTATTTGTGATTGTTCTTAATGCAGATTTATTTGTCTATACTCTAAAGTTGAGTTTGCAATAGCCTGTGCCATCCAATCTGTTCGTATAGTTGTCATTTACAAACAAATGAAAAGGTGTTTTTGCTGTTGTACTGGCTTGTGAAGAGTATAGCATTTATATGATTACAAATCTTCCCGTTGACAGAAGGAATCTCGACTAAGCTGGACGGACAAAAAGCGTCTTGGTTGTATACAAACAAATCAAAATCATATAAATAATACTTAAGTAAGCCGTAATCCCATTCAGCATACCGTCAGAGAAACATTCATTTTGGTGTCTAAAATATACAGGCCTTAAAAACACAAAGCAAAATGACAATGTCAAAGTTTGTTACTCCCGTTTTCGCATTATTGTATAAAATTCCTACTTTTTTTGTTATTATTAAAGGACGCGTTTAACGCCATCAACTGTCTGTACAACGGAACGAAAGAATGGAAACTCATCGATTATAAATATGAGGCCATGATTTATAAAGCTGAGGAGTCTGAGTATGAAATCGGGGTTTCTCATTGATAGATGTACATTCTGTGGATCTAGTTAAGTATCCTTTGTTGAAGGACGTTCCTTGGTCACACGTTATCATTCACCCTGGTGACTGCCTGTTTTTACCCAAGAGTAAGTTAACCCTTAATAGTATGGCTTAACATTACAGAAATGCATAGAAATTAATGAACCAAAATCAATGCAATTTTTGTGGGTTTTGAAAATAACCGTAACTAAGAACTTTGCATGCACATTATTTACTGTATACAATGCAGTGGTAGTTTGCTTTAACAAAGAGTGGGATTATAAAAATCTACTAGTAGGAACACGTCATTTTGGTGCTAAAGCTGACTTGTTGCTAAAGATTTTTAGTCATTGTTGAACAAAGGCATCATTGAGGAAGCTAATTTTATAGTTTTTCTACGGACTCTGCGTATTTAACAAAGCTGTAACTAAGAAAAACTTTTACTCAATAATAAATCTAAATCTTAGGTTATTATCACCAAGTAAATTCATTTGGCAATACCAATGTTGCCGTGGCAATCCTCTTTTCTCGTCTCGATGATCTCAAAGAGTTTAACAACACTGGATGTGGCAACCAGACTTCATCCCCTCTATCTGATATGGACGTTGACTGGAAATACCCTGGTTACGGAAAATTATCCATGGGAAATCCCTCTCTCGAGACCATGAGGTAAAATAACGATCGTATGCCAAAGTGTATTTATGTGTTTTTAATCATACATCAACGAATTGTTCGCCTCAGTGCCCGTAGTTATCGATATGGCATGTAATGTGTTCTTTTTAACATTTATATAATCTGTTCTACACTTAGACAGTGCAATTGAAATTTCGTTTTGCGCTTTACATCCAAAATTTAAAAAAATTATCATCAAGTGTAAAAAAGGTACATAAGGTGTACAATGCGTAGCCTGTCAAATTTTTTTTAACTTTTATAACTTTTTCTGTATTTGCCGAACGTTCTCGTTTAGATTGCAGGTCACGTAACTTATTAATGGCATAGAAAAATCAACTTAGTCCTAGTTTTATTACATCGCCAAACCATCACAAAGCATCGCCAACGCTTATCACCAATAGTGTGTAGTCATCGTAAACAGCTCGAGCTCAAACTTGGTAAAGTTAAATTGGACTTAAAATTCCTTACAACATGTAAAAGGCGCTCAGCAATACCACGTTTCATGTGGTTTAAGGTTGCAAATCGCCGTCTGCGTTGTTTTAGCGCCTATCGACAATGTCAAAGCAAACTACTCCTCGAAGAAATAAACGACAAACACTCCAGAATACGCGTGCAATCTGCACAAGTGACAATGACTATGTTTAAAATTATTTGTTGGGCTCTAATATTTACATTGAGAATCCGTTTCCCGCCTGGCACCTCATTGGCAACAATATTGATAAATCGATATGACAATAAAACGCTCAAAGAAATCAGAAAGTATCATCGTAAACACTTTTTTTCTGATTGCATTGCCGATAATCGTTGGGCATAACGGAAAATAAAAACAAAGCACAATTTGTAATGCTTTTCATTAAAGTATTAGCGTTCACTGACCGTATAAGAGTACTTACTGTAGCAAAGCAGTCTTACTAAAGCAACCTTTAAAATTACCTAAAAGTTTTAGTTACAAATGCATTATCGTTTTTCCTGAAATCGTTCTTTTGCAATAAACTTAACATCACCCACAACTTAGTTTAAATGATTTTTTAACGTATATGGAATCATACACAGATAAATCAACTGGTTTATCGTAATGTATGTTGGGTTGCATCCAATTATTTCTGTCTTGTATGACTATTTTACGAGCTAGTTGTGGCCAAACAGATGTGTTCTTTGTTTTATAATGAAATAACAATGAAACTTTTTCTTAAGATATTCAACTGCAACGTAGATTTATCTAAATTTTTAAAAGTTTATGGGAAAGAGTCGTTCTTTTGATCAGTAGCGTAACTAGACAAAAACAATTGGTCGTGATATAACGAAAACAAACAGAAGTACAGTTGGTTGCAACATAAGTTGTCTGTGCCGCTGGTTGTGTACGCTTTAAATGTGCGACTTTGATTTCTCATGCTTTTGGCGATCGCCCAGTAAATAATGCATGTTGACATAATCAATTTGAGTCAATGTAGTGGACTTTGGGCGAAACAGTCAATAAATGCAACAAAATAACTACTGTTTCTTCACACTAGCGCACAACTAGTCTTTCCTTTCCTTCACTCTTTCCACCAAGACTGTTGTAAATCCTTATATTTCGTTTTCACTTTGAACGTAGGGTTGGTCGTGGTAAACAAACAAAATATTTCTACTCTATAGCGTTGCGTAAACTGCAAATCCTCCTAAGCTCAGAAACGATTTCTCTGACTCTTTGATCTTCAGACGCGACGTTTGATTGTCCTTGATTGATTTCCATGTTCACAAACAAAAATAAATCAAATAACACAGTAAAACGATGAATAATTCGACAATATTTGAAATACTCGTGCCAATAAACTTGGCATGACCCAAGGGGAAAATTAGGCGATTGAGCATGCGTAAGACGCAATGCAGGCTTATATATTATTAGTGATTTTTGTTTTGATCATTCTCGCCTGATCAGAGCATTTGACCAAACCAAGGCTGAGTATACCCATTTTAACAGGCTGTGAGGTTTTCTAGCCAATCAGCTCTTAGGAATACATAAATTGTTCATGGTGGCCTGAGTATAGCACGACCAAAATTAGGTGAATGGCGTACCATGTGCTTTTAGGCAATGATTAGCCCAGATTTCGGGCAGAAACGTAATATAGTGTAAGTAACATGAATTATTAGAAATGGATTTTGTTTTAGCTAATATCTGTTAACATTATTAACATTATATAGGTTGAAAACATTTGGTTGTGCACGACCTCTATAGCTACGCTATTGCTTTTGATTTATTCGATGACAACAATTAAGGAGATTAAAACGTCAATTCTTACAACCATCCGATTATACCAACATATAGACGATGATTTTCTGTTTGCCGTTGTTTTTTAACAGTATTTTGAAATTTTACAGAATTGTGGTTAAGATCGGTAATTAGTTCAAACTACTATAGGAAATATATTCTACCACTCTAAAGATGACTACCGCTAAGGTTGTCGAAACGTCATTGAACAACAACAAAAACAGTCCTTCTCAGGACTATACTAACCTGGACGATCTGCATCTACAAACATGTAAACGATATTCCCGAGTTCAAACCATTTACTTTAGAAGTATATTTGTCACATAGTTTATAAAGAATATTATTTATCTACAATAAATACGTCAAATATAATAGTTCCTAACGTGCTGAAATGCTTAGTGTCGATTAGTAATTGCTTTCCCAACTTTTTATGTTCATTTCTATCTTCATGAAATTTAGGAACAACTTGAAAATCACATTGAATAAAGAAAAATACCCACACTCGCAATCGTCTCTAACGATGCTTGAGGTATGTAATTGAAATACCAATCTATTTTGAAAACAATTTTTCTAATGTGAAAGTTTTTAAAACATCTCATTACCAATCCACAAGTTCGATACAACGTATACTGAATGTATTCTATTTGGTTTATGGTATTTTCCTTTTAATCCAACTGTGATACATATGCTATACACTCTTAGCACTCTTTTAGGAACTGCTTTTACTGAAGGGAGATGGAAAGGCCTTGTTTAAAGAGGTTGGTCAATACATGTTTGAATTTTCTGTTCATTTAATTGAAATTGTGGTTAGGTTAAAGTAAGGACCTGCATGACCATTATGTTTGGCATTTAGGTTACTTCATATGATATAATCCGGACGATTGTGTTTAACTGCAAGTAACCCATCTATAATTTATTAAAGTGAATGCCTTTACACATAACAACTATTTCATATACACTTTGTGCGAACTTGATACAACTATTCATGAACTATATTGCTGCGTAGAACTAGTTTTCGTGCTTGTGTCGTTTTTTATGAAAATCATTGCCATAATGTAATAAAAGACGGAAATGTCCAGATGTCCATAAAAACGGCACCAGCATGAATTAATTATATGAATTCACAGAAATAATTATACAAAATGACATCGCTTGTGTTCAAAGCAAATTAGAAGACAATTATGTGTTGCTGGGATTTCATAATGTTTTTAAAGTATTTAAAACAAAACAGTTTAAAAGTACTGAACACAATGATTTCCTAACGCCTATACAAAAAATAGTCATATTTTACATAATGTGCTAGGAACAAGGGTGTAACTAAAGTAACTTGGCGGAACAAATACGTATCTAATGCAGGCTAAATTATCTTATGCAGATTTTACTTAGTGCATACATAATTTTTTTGCGGTTTCCGTTTGTTAAGACACGCCGTATAAAAGAGTGATAAGCTGCAATGTCAAATAGAAAAAGAAAAACATTTCCATGACTTACTAAATTGAATATTGTCATATTGCTTGGGGTCATCAAAAGCAAGGGGCAAACAAAAAATACCCCCCATAAAACAATATCTTGTTGTATGGAGACATTAATAGATTCTTTCATGGTAAAGAAAGTGTTTGTTTCAGCATAGTCCGTGCTATGTGGTGGAAAATAATTGCTTCTAAGATAGGTTTGTTTATATTCTAATATGACTACGACTACAAACACACAAGTTTAGCTATTTCAAAAGATAATCGCCAACAAAAAGATTTATTTCTTGTTATGGCCAAAGATACAAACTATTCTTAATCCAAGGATTCAAGCTTCCAACTCAGCCAAAAATAAAGCTTCGAATTAAGCCGAAAATCAAGGTCAAAATGAGGTTTGGTATCATACCACCTTAGTAGGTGGCATACTACCAATTAGCAAAACAAACTACAATTACGAGTTTCACTGTTTGGGTAGGAGCTTGAATCCAACTCCTTGGCTCAACAAATGCGTATCCTCATTGTGAAGCCAATTAGTATATTTGAGCATTATCAAAACTTACACACCGAAGTAAATCATTAGACAAACACCCTGAATACTGACAAACGATAATGATATGGTTTTCAACTCCGAGGAATAGATAGAATGAATGTAAGCAACAATGCTGATAAAAGCAATGCAGTGATTGTGCAAGCACATTTTCTTCTATTTCTGAATAGTTGTTTTAATTGCTTAATTGAAGTTGAATTAACGAACGTTAACATTTTAACGTTTAAATATTTTTGTTGTTCTTTCCGCGCATATCTATAAGTTTGATGAGCTACTAATCTATTAATCCTATTTGTATGTAAGGGCTACTTTTTGTTTGAACAAAGCACTTTTGATTTCTGAATTCCGAATTCAGAATTACTTTTGTATTTTGCAACTTATAAATTTGTATATATCATCAATAAAGTATGGCACTTCGAAAACAACTCCTTTTTACATACTCCTTTAATCTCGTTTTAGTTGAAGTTGTATAATTTAATTTGGCTATCAAGTGTCTATTATAATAAATGACTCATTTCAATAGTGCTGCTACAGACCTAACTTTATTCATTGTTAAAATTCTGTAACTGCAAAACAACACGTTCTTAACATACACTTGTATGATATTTCTTGTTGTTGTCATCCTGTTCATACGGCAGTTATTAATGCAATCAGCAGAGAATCATGCGAAACACTGCATTTTAAAATTTTTACTACGAAAAAGGAATAACAAAATAATACGACCAGTTAGCTCGAAAATATCACATGTACGCCATTTGTTTCCTTTCAAATTTTTTACTCGTTGAACTGACTCAAAGTAAAAAAAAATGGATTGTTTATCTTAGGTTAATGCCAAACTTAACAAGCCTGAGGATAATCATATCACAGAAGAAGACCTTGACTCACTATCAAAAAATGATCTTCGTGACATTTTTGTAGCCTTTGAACCCTACGAGCCGTCAAATCATTACACCTATGAGTACTCCTATATTAAAGAAAAGGACATCAGGTGTGTTACTTCTGATTAACATTATTGCGTGTTTTTCGAAGATTAAACATTTGGTTTTGATAAATCTTTAAGGAAATTAAGGGAGCATTTGTATTGCCATAGAATCGGTTTTTTTTAGTCTAGACGAGTAATTAGTTGAGTATGCCAAGTTACCTTTTTATGACAAAATGGGCGTGTCTTACATAAGACATAGTGAAAAGCAATTTCTAGAACATATATTTTACAAATCGAATTCAAGAATTGATTCATTGAATTATAAACTAATAGTTTAGTTATGCAACCTCCTTGATAAATATATCATTCAATTTTCTGCTCAGAGTATTTAAAAGTTTTTAAAGAAGTAAAAGATCTTCTGCCAAGACAGTAAAATAAAGCTATATGATCTTTATAGTTTTATCCATTGCTGTCATTTTACGTCACATACCCCATGCATATCGTCACGTAATGCTTATCGCGCATAAATTTTAGTCATTAAAGTTACGTGTAGGCGCATAGCGTGAAAAGTCATATGCAGGTTAGTTTAAGAAGTTCTCTGTTCAAACTATTGAACTAAAATTGGTGGAAGGCTACGTCAGTCGAAATTTTGATGCCAGTAGAACCCAGTGTTTCCCGGCAATGTAAATACACGGCCAGTAGACATAAGCGAAAAAAACTTGTTACAAACGTGATTTACAAACGAGTCTCGCCTAACGCGTAGTCACGCGTGTGTAATACAAATAATATGACCTCCAGACACGCTTGTCACCCACAAAGTTTAAACCAATGATTTAAAACACAGTCTTCCAGATGTCTACTGACCGTGTCAAGGTGAGGCAAGGACGCCATCTTGAAAGATGGCAAAAAGCAAAACTCAAAATGAAAAGTAAATTAAAACAAATTTTAAAAAACCCATCCTGTCAAACATCCCATCATGTAATTAGAACTAAATAAGAATTTCGAATTTATGCTGTTGGTAAGAAGAACTTAGTAGTTGTTAACAACTTTTTGTAGGTCATTGCTTAATAAGTTAATCCGATTAGATGGCGGAGTTTATCGTGAAAAATGGGAAAAATTATATCAAGAGGTGAGGTTTTAGAACAATTTTTCAACCATCGTAATAAAACTGTCATGCATTTTGTATCCTATTTTTAACTAGTTATTTTAGCCTTTCCTGTTCTTGCGTGTAATTGACTTATTTGCTTTTAGAGCAGTATAGGTTTATCGTCAATCTTCTTACCACAACACTTGTTCAACTATTTTATTCTCTTCAACTGAAAAATGTTCGATTTATAAATTATTTCTATTTTTAGGATCTTGGTGGAACAAGAGCTTTTGCTTCTCAGGTGTGCTAAACCAGATTTTAATTATTTTGTGCTTTCTCAAAGCTAACGCAAATTATCCATCGTTCATTAATTACTAAAAATATAACATAGTATGTCTATATATTGTCAAAAATTTTCCAGTTGTTTGAAGGTTTCCAATCGTCAAACAAGAGCATGGCGTCCACTGAAGAAGTGATGAAGAATATAAACACAGTTCTTGAACCATACATTTACTACAGAAATAAAACTGCATTTGACCTGAGATCTCATTATGATGCTGTTGATGATGATTATGACGAGGACGATAGTGAGGTCAATGACGACAGGAAGCATTCTACCGATAATGAATGGATATCGATAGACCACCATAAACATCCCGTGATAAAAGGTGATGATGATGTACATAATTCTCACCAAGGTCAAGATGATAAAAGGGGAAGATTCACTCAATTAAGTGGTTACCAAGAATCAGACGACGACAATCTGGGATATAAGGACAACGAAAAACTAAATGATGGTCGTAATGTCGAATATCATTCTTTCCAAAAACTCGAGCATCATAACTATCCTACACATAATGAAAATGAGGAGGAAAATTCTCAGAAAAATGAACTGTGATGTTTGTTGTAACATAATTTTTTGTTGTACAGTAGTTAGCCACGTGTTTATTGTTTTATCAACTAAAGTTTCGTCTATTACTACAACTGTCACAGTACACCTACGCTTATAAGAATAATTTGCTATCTTCAGAATACACTAACTTTTTGAAAATCTTAAACAATGTAATATTTCCTCTCGGGATATGTTTCTTAAAGTGATACAGAAGTGAAATTTTCATATTTCGTTTTTTGACACTAACATTTTATCTTTACAGATCATTTTAAGCTATTGCACACTTAATTTGATCGACGGGAACGCATTGAAATTTGCTTTCAAACTTGGCACTTCCGCTTGTTTTGATGCGAATTTCACTTTGAGCGCGTGACGTCATTTAACGGACGGAGGTTCAATATTAAAGCTATCAGTTAATAAAAATATAAGCGAATCAAAATATTTCCAACACGAGTTTAACATTTTTATGACTTTTTTTGCAAAAGTCGAGTATAGCTGCTGAAAAAAGAGTAATACAAATAAGTTTACAACATATACAATCTGTTATAGTTTTATAAACTTCTAAATAACTTATAATTCTCGATGAACTGGGTGCCGCATCCTTGTGCAGTGTGTGGTTTAATACACAAGCAATGTTATCAGGAACTCGTTTAGTTCCAATCTATTAGAGTTTTATAAACTTCTCGATTACACTTGTAATTCTCGAAGAAATGTATGCCTTCCTTCCAGTAGTCCGTGGTTTTAAAACCCATGCAATATTATCATAATGCACATAATATTAAAAGAATCTTTTCCAACGTTAGTAACATAACGATACACTGCAAGTAAAAATATGGCGAGTAGTCAGAATTCTGCAAAAATACGTCGATGAGGGCAATATTTTGCTGCTGGTTGGCCAAACAGAAAAAGTTGTACAAACAGTCAATACACAGAGGGTGTCTCAGTACATCGTTTCCCCATGAATGACAAGGAGAGGCTGAGCAAATGGACAAAATTTGTTAGGAGACATAGGCCAAAATTCGTTCCTCAGCAGTACTCTGTGCCATGTTCAATGCATTTCGCTGATTTTATTCACCGTGAACGCAGCGGTTGCAAAATCACTAAGTACAGTATGAGACAACAAAAGGACATTTGGATGGGAAGGAACTTTCTTCAACACCATTCTTTCACTATAATTTAGTCTATTTAAATGTTTAATAATGAATCAGTTAAATAACGACAATTAATACAAATAAAGTATATTTTGTACAAGCCAAATGAACATATAATACAATGTGGGCACTGATTTGTATTATGAAATTTTACACAAGAAACATACTGTACTTATTAGCGATTATTATGTAAAGGCTTCTGCCGCTGAACAGAAAGTTAATAGGCGCGTCCCAGATCATCGCCCTTGTAATAGCAAACCCCTATAAAATAGACGACAAATTTCTCTATAGCAAACATGTTTCGGCATACTTTATGCCATCTTCAGTGAAGTGAATAAATATAAGAAGTTTACATGATAATATGTTATAGTAATAAAGCGGAAGTATCGAATAGTTATGATTCATAACTTATGAATAATTATCTACAATTGAATAGGGTGTTATAAAATGTTTGTGTTATTTTTATCAAAGAAAAAACTACAAAGAAAATGAATAATATCTGATAAAGTAGCAATTGCTATTTACAGATCAAAGATAGTGTTAAGATGCTGTATTTGTTTGATGAGGTTAGGTTTACGCTTCTTGATATAAAGGGCTTCTTTGAGTTTAAGGGCGAAAGGAGTGTGAGCGGTGTCTAAGATACGGAAACAGGATTGTGTGATTGTTTTTGCAGTGTGGTGACAAGAGTAAGTGTCTGAATATGTGTGAGTTTTTGTCCGTGGTTGTGTGTTCTTTAATCCGTGTGGAAAGGTGGCGGGTGGTATCCCCAATGTAACTGGAATTACATCCAGCACAAAAAAATTCATAAACCATTTTGGATTTTAAAATAATGGGTATAGGATCTTTGAAACTAAAGTGATTTTTGATTTTGAAAGATGAAAAAACTAGTTTGATGTCTAAGTGATGATATTATCCATTTAATATGAATAACTACAGCAATATAAAACAATTTGATTAACTACAGGCATAAGTATTTTAGACATGAATACCATCATGTATCGTTATATTCCAGTTGTAATTCATCGTGCACTCATATTGAACAAATGTTCTTAAGTTTTGTGTCTAATTTTTTTATTCTATGAATATTCATTCATGTATGAGGTCATTGAATTAGCCGAAATTTTAACAGCAATATGGTTGTTTGTGCGATGATTACAGTTATATGTACAACTGATAGTCAGTAGTTATGTTAAAATCAATTCAAAAAGTCGAACAGTTAAAACTTTCCTATGAAACTTTCCCTGCTTCCACATTAAGATTTTTTTATATTCCTTTGTGAAATTTGCATTTTTTACGAAACGTTATTGATTGTAGCTTTTCTCTTTCGGATATTTCAGTTATTTGACATTTCCAGCTATGTACTTCAAAAATTACGAATAAAAATTGATCGAATTCAGCTATTTATCTTTGTTTACTTAAACTACATTAATGTGTAGATTTCTCTTTTGAAATAAATAATTAAAAGCAAGTTGACAATAACTAATTTATAAGCCAAAGCACTTTGGCCTGCTGTTGTGTTGATGATGAAAGAACGTGTCATAAAAACATAGAAATCATTCAATTCATGCGACATAAAAGTTTGAGAACGTGTTTGTATTTACATATTTATATCTTTATTTGAAGTATATCAAACAAAGTCCGTCGGCTAACTGCATGCTGTGTTGTTAATCACATAGTTTAAACCAATGCATATGAACGAAATATCACGTGATCATTGTTATTGAATAAATTGTGGTGTATAATATTCACTGCATGACACATCCAAACAACATTTTCTTCTTTTGTCAATATTTTCGAGCAAAACCCTTCCTCACAGTAACTCTGTTTGCCTTCAAGACTACCTCATAACTATAGGAAGATGCTATTTTTTGCGCTAATAGCTTGTTGCATAAAACGATTAGGAAATTAGTTAGACTTAAGTTCTCCGCTGTTTGTTTCTGTTAAATTTATGCAACGTTTCATTTTTAAAAATGTTCTATGAAAAGTAAAATAATTGTAAAAAACCCAGAAATTATCAATATCCATTGGCACAAAAGTCAATAAGTTTTTGTAAATCATCTAAGAACAAGTTTAATTTCTCTAATCGAACGAAGACCGATGGCTTATTCTGCTATTTTGTTAATTGTATAATCTACATACCAAGTATAATTGCCTTAAACTAAAGATCACTATCATAAGAACCAAAAAATAACGCAATCATTGTTATTCGATGTGGTATGATTTTTGTCTACGTTACCAAAGAACATTTTGTCATCTTATAACACTTGACTATAAAAACCCTAAATTTAAGATTATGTGGAGTTTGAGTTTGTAGAAATCGCGAATCTTAGTATTTTATGAAACTTTTAGAAGTTTATTTTTTGGATAAGTATTTTATATATATTTTTTATAAAAATTGATTGTATGTACATATCGAAAAATTTGCTGCCTAATCGTTTTCCATGTTTTTCTCAATATTTCTAAGAAAAGTGATAGCATATCGCTCAATCATCCTTATATTTAAATTAAAGACAATGAACAGGAATTCCTTTCTTTGAGTGAACAATCACGGAGACTAATGCTTGCCAATAATTTTGTTCACTATAACTCGTCAGCATATAAATGTTCTGGAAATATCAGGAGTATCGTTTACTAACACAAACTAACAATAGCAACCACAGTCCCGCACGCAACGTTTGGTATTATTGATAGTAGATGTCAACCAGATCTCAACGTACAGAAAATGTGGTTATAATTAGATAATTCAGGGGGTTAAGGAATAAGTGCGAGCGTACATTTACAATAAAGTAGAAAATTTAGTAAGAGCGTCCGTTTCGACCTCCGTCAAGATATTTATCAACCATGTTGTAAAACTAACAGAGCCTGTTTATGTCGATTCCCAATCCAACCACCAGTCCTTACACTGTTAACAACTTCCAACATCAATCAACAAACGTCTTACAGTTCTTTCTTTAAAAGAACACGTTTATAATGGTGAATCATAATTTACAAAAATGCCGTGAAATAAAGTAACTTTCATGCTGTACTATGATATAACTCATCAAATGGAACATTGAGACAAATCAATTGCAACGTTAAATAAATTACTATAAAAATTTGCTTAATGGTAGCTATTACCAGACTACTTTTTTTAGTTTTCTATGTTGTTCAAACTTTAAACACCACAAAAACCTACTTAACGTTATCTGCATAATGATTTCTTTACGCGTATAATACAGTGTACGTTTTTTGCTGCTATGTCAATGTTAAAAAAATATCATTCCTTTTTGTTAGAAATGTTTTATTCTTGTAGTGATTAATCAAGAAATATTAGATTTTCGAAAAATGTTCGCTTACATTTTCAATAATCCACTTACTCCTAACATTTTTATAAACTTCAAAGAATTTATCTTTGGACATTAAACCGATGTCACTTCAGAACATTTAGTATATGCACGTGTTATACATTAGAAAATATTTTGTTATAATGATCATTGAAGAAAATCAAAACACATATTATGCAATTTTGAGTTCAATTGGGCGTGTTGGATCATGAACTCAAACTTATAACTACTCAAATAAAAATAAAGTTTGCTTTTATCTGTGCTACTAATTGATTGTTCGATGTTCTTTCAATAATTATCCACTGTTATGTATAATTGCGTATACATTAGAACCTAAATTGTGTTATTAAATCCATGAATATATCCTCCATCATTGAGAATTGTCACGTCAAGAGTAGCAAATGTTTCTTTACGTCAAACATTATCCAGCTCCTCTTAACAAATATTTCAACCATGCATTTTTAAACGGCATACCTGAATGTTTGCTAATATAAATTGCCGTGATTGCTTTTGTACAAAATGTATAAAGTATGGAAGACTAGGTGTTGAGAAATTGTAAAATGTTGAGAAAAACGACAATAGATCTAATACTGCATTGTCACTTTGATGTGAAATTTGATACTACTACTTATATTAAATTGAATTTATGGCTAGTCAGTTCAGTGCCCTTATAATTAGATGACCTAAGGCTATAATATGTAAATAATATCAATGATAATAGATACACGTAGTACAAAAATGCTAAATGCAATCGCAGTCCTGTTTATTCCTTGCGTTGCATATTAAAGAAGCTTTGTTCGAAGAAAGTGTGTTAATATTTTTAGCTATTGCAGGACAATTTTGGTATATTTGTTAGTGTTGAAGTGCCACAATTCCACAAGGTATGTAAAACCATGTTATGTTTTGCTTCAAGCTTTCTTGTCTTTGTATTCTCGTCTCAACCTGAAGAATGTTTACATACTTTACCATCTTAAATGTTGTCATGTGAGACATCGAATCACACGAAACATAAAGGTATGTTTTAACGGTCATATTAAGTACATAATGTGGATAACTGTGTGTATCAAAGTTAGCAAACTCCTATCACAGTTAGCAAACTGCTTAAACTCGCAAGTCTCAATTATGAAACTAAATACGATATCGATATTGTACTTACGAATAGCTAATGTTGTGTTACATCTTTAGAATAAAATTACGTCAATTAAATGTCTTTATGCTGATCTTGTTTTTTTTTAGTTGACAAACCAAATCTTTATAAATCAAATTATAAAAAATGTTGCATGAAGCTTGTATATATCACTAGTTAACTTGCTCTTCATGCATAATAGTTTTTAATAATTGTAATAAATCAAAATTAACATTACTTAAGTTATTAAAATGTATTCAACAATATAGCACTTTCGCTGCTTGCAGCAATACAAGGTGACTTATACTGTAGAGATTTGTCGTCTCAAATTTCCATCGTCTCTATTGATATACGGGCAGTGTTTACCATTAGATATACAACGCAATAAATCATGCATGTAATACAATATAAGATAAAATGACTTGCATTTTTAGAGATGTTCTTCTCAGACATATTTATCATACTAAACTTGGTTTGTTTAATTAATTTTAAAAAGATGGAAATATGCTAATCTTCATTCCAGCAGGCACCATATATGAAAAACCTAACATGTTTTACAATGGCTTAAAATGCACTCAAGCCTAACTTGGTTTTGAACTTTTAGCTAATAAAAATACAACAGGTATCAATATGGCATTCTATTCTATTGAAAGTTGTATAAGTATCAATAAAGTCAGTAATGGAAGCCTGGACGTACTGAAAATAGTGACGTTCAGCGACGTATTTATTGAGTTATTGAATCATTACGTTTGAAGGTTACAATTGGCACCGCATGCTATGAGTATTGAAGAGCTAAAAATCTGTCTTTATTTAAGAATGCTGTTTACACAAACGCGTCTATATCACATAGGTCCACCTTTGGAAATTTATAATGATTTTCTTTTGCAGTCAACAAGTTTATTTGCTGCAGTAAAATGCAAGACTTTGGAGATTTGGGTTTGTGATAAACAAAGAGCATTAATATCCTCACATGCATGCATAAATAACATAGTTGTAGTGCACTAAAACTTTGAAGTTTTCGACATGATGCTGAGATTATTAGTACATTCATTTACTTTATAGCTATAAAAACGGCATAAATCCATTGAGAAAAATCATTGTTATAATCACAGGTTTTGGTTTGACATAATTACTTGAAAAATATTCAACGCTAAATCTGAAAATTGCATTTATGTCCTGTGTTATGATTAAAATAACATCTCTCTACACGTTCATATTATACCATCAAATTTTTCAATAAAACTGTCTTTGTCTTCACCTAAATATAGAGACTCTTCTTACACGATGAAGAACCTGTTGATTGTTGTATTGCTTTTGATTACTTGTGTCTTTATGCCCAAACATGGACAAGCAGTGAATGAACGTGATATCACCTTCAAGAAAGTTTCTGAAAATACCCTACGTCTAATATTTCAAAGAGGGATTGCAGGAAGAAGTTTAAATGGTGGCGTGAGAAAAACGTGAAGCAGAAGAAATGCCACCAGGACGACGACTTCCTACAGGAAAAAACGTTGATCCACATTTGCATGTTGAGACAGCTCTCACTGACAAGTTCATTAATGTATCTATTTAAATATATGTCTCTTTGTGTAAGGCTTCGTTATCTTTTGAGTCTACTTTTGATATTATCCATTTAACATGAATAACTACAGCAATATAAAACAATTTGATTAACTACAGGCATAAGTATTTTAGACATGAATACCATCATGTATCGTTATATTCCAGTTTTAATTCATCGTGTACTCATATTAAACAAATGTTCTTAAGTTTGTGTCTAATTTTTTTATCTATGAATATTCATTCATGTATGAGGTCATTGAATTAGCCGAAATTTTAACAACAATATGGTTGTTTGTATGATGATTACAGTTATATGTACAACTAATAGTTAATAGTTATGTTCGCATTGGTAAAATCAATTCAAGAAGTCGAACAGTTGAAACTTTCCCATGAAACTTTTCCTGCTTCCCCATTAAGATATTTTTATAATCCGTTGTGAAATTTGCATTTTTTACGAAACGTTATTGAGTGCAGCTTTCCTCTTTCGGATATCTCAGATATTTGACATTTCCAGCTATGTACTTCAAAAATGAAGAATAAAAATTAATCGAATTCAGTTATTTATCTTGTTTACTTAAACTACACATCAATGTGAAGATTTCTGTTTTGAAATTAATAATTAAAACAAGTTGACAATAACTAATTTATAAGCCAAAGCACTTTGGCCTGTTGTTGTGTTGATGATGAAAGAACGTGTCATAAAACATAGAAATCATTCAATTCATGTGACATGAAAGTTTAGAACGTGTTGATATTAAAATATTACTATATATTTATATCTTTATTTAAAGTATATCAAACAAAGTCCGTCGGCTAACTGCATGATGTGTTGTTAATCGCATAGTTTAAACCGATGCATATGAACCAAATATCACGTGATCATTGTTATTGAATAAATTGTGGTGTATAATATTCACTGCATGACACATCCAAACAACATTTTCTTCTTTTGTCAATAATTTCGAGCAAACCCTTCCTCTCAAAAACTCTGTTTGCCTTCAAGACTACCTCATAACGATAGGAAGATGCTATTTTTGTGCTAATAACTCGTTGCATAAAACGAGTGGGAAATTAGTTAGACTTAAGTTCTCCGCTGTTTTTTTCTCTTAGTTTTATGCAACGTTTCATTTTTAAAATGTTCTGTGAAAAGTAAAATAACTATAAAACCCAGAAATTATCAATGTCCCTTGGCACGAAAGTCAATAAAGTTTTGTAAATCATCTATGAACAATTTTAATTTCTCTAATCGGGCCTTAATCTTGTCATGAAAGATGTCGTGTAGGTCTTTCGTTGCTGTAGCATTTGCATTAACTTGTTCTTCTGTAGTTGCATCTGTTTCATTCAAGTTTTGCTCTTTTGACGTTTTTCCCGCTATTTGTTATTTAAATCCGATGATGTACCGAGATATAGCCGACACCTTCCGATTACGAGCACACGGAGGACGAGTAACAATTATAAATTCAAGATTGAGCTTTATCGTCATAAACGCTTTGATATGATTTCGATATGTTTACGAGGGTATTTGTTGACTATAACACCTCAACATAAATGTTCTGGACATATCAGGAGTATATCGTTTACTAACGCAAACTAAGAATAGCAACCACAGTCCCACACGCAACGTTTGGTATTATTGATAGTAGATTTCAACTAGATCTCAACGTAAAGAAAATGAGCTTAGAATTAGATAGTTCCGGCGGGGGGTTAAGGAATGAGTGCGAGCGTAAATTCACAAAAAAGTAGAAAATTTCGGAAGAGCGTCCGTTTCGACCTCCGTCAAGATATTTATCAACCATTTTGTAAACCTAACAAAGCTTGTTTATGTCGATTCCCAATACAACCACCAGTCCTTACACTTTTAACAACTTCCAACATCAACCAACAAACGTCTTACAGTTCTTTCATCAAATGAGCACGTTTATAATGGTGAATCATTATTTACAAAAATGTCCCGAAATAAAGTAACTTTCGATGATACAACTCATCGAATGGAACATTAAGACAAATCAATTGCAACATTAAATAAATTACTATAAAAAATAGCTTAATTGTAGCTATTGCCAGACCACTTTTTTGTGTTGTTCAAACTTTGAACACCAGAAAAACCTACTTAACGTTATCTGCATAATGATTTCTTTACGCGTATAATACAGTGTACGTTTTTGCTGCTATGTCAATGTTAAAAAATATCATTCCTTTTGTTAGAATGTTTTATTCTTGTAGTGATTAATCAAGAAATATTAGATTTTCGAAAATGTTCGCTTACATTTTCAATAATCCACTTATTCCTAACATTTTTATAAACTTCAAAGAATTTATCTTTTGACATTAAACCGATGTCACTTTAGAACATTTAGTATATAAACGTGTTATACATTAGAAAATATTTTGTTATAATGATCATTGAAGAAAATCAAAACACATATTATGCAATTTTGAGTTCAATTGGGCGTGTTGGATCATGAACTCAAACTTATAACTACTCAAATAAAAATAAAGTTTGCTTTTATCTGTGCTACTAATTGATTGTTCGATGTTCTTTCAATAATTATCAACTGTTATGTATAATTGCGTATACATTAGAACCTAAATTGTGTTATTAAATCCATGAATATATCCTCCATCATTGAGAATTGTCACGTCAAGAGAGCAAATGTTTCTTTACGTCAAACATTATCCAGCTCCTCTTAACAAATATTTCAACCATGCATTTTAAACGGCATACCTGAATGTTTGCTAAAATAAATTGCCGTGATTGCTTTTGTACAAAATGTATAAAGTATAGAAGACTAGAGTGTTGAGAAATTGTAAAATGTTGAGAAAAACGACAATAGATCTAATACTGCATTGTCACTTTGATGTGAAATTTGATACTACTACTTATCTTAAATTGAATTTATGGCTAGTCAGTTCAGTGCCCTTATAATTCGATGACCTAAGGCTATAATATGTAAATAATTTCAATGATAATAGATACACGTAGTACAAAAATGCTTAATGCTATCGCAGTCCTCTTTATTCTTTGCGTTGCATATTAAAGAAGCTTTGTTCGAAGAAAGTGTGCTAAAATTTTTAGCTATTACAGGACAATTTTGGTATATTTGCTGGTGTTGAAGTGCCACAATTCCACAAGGTATGTAAAACCATGTTATGTTTTGCTTCAAGCTTTCTTGTCTTTGTATTTTCGTACGAACCTGAAAAATGTTTTCATACTTTACCATAATAAATGCTGGCATGTGAGACATCGAATCACACGAAACACAAAGATATGTTTTAACAGTCATAATAAGTACATAATGTGGACAACTGTGTGTATCAAACTGTTAGCAAACTCCTTAAAGTCGCAAGTCACAATGATAAAACTAAATACGATATCGATATTGTACTTACGAATACGTAATGTTGTGTTACATCTTTAGAATAAAATTACGTTAATTAAATGTCTTTATGCTGATCCTGTTTTTAGTTGAAAACCAAATCTTTATAAATCAAACTATAAAAGTGTTGCATGAAGCTTGTATATATCACTAGTTAACTTGCTCTTCATGCATAATAGTTTTTAATAATTGTAATAAATCAAAATTAACATTATTTAAGTTATTAAAATGTATTCAACAATATAGCACTTTCGCTGCTTGCAGCAATACAAATTGACTTATACTGTAGAGATTTGTCGTCTCAAATTTCCATCGTTTTTATTGATATACGGGCAGTGTTTACCATTAGAGATACAACGCAATAAACCATGCATGTAATACAATATAAAATAAAATGACTTGCATTTTTAGAGATGTTCTTCTAAGACATATTTATCATACTACACTTGGTTTGTTTAATAAATTTAAAAAAGATCGAAATATGCTTATCTTCATTCCAAAAAGCAGTATATATGAAAAACTTAAGATGTTTTGCAATTGCTTAAAATGCACTCAAGCCTAACTTGGCTTTAAACTTGTTAGCTAATAAAAACACAACCAGTATCTATATGGCATTCTATTCTATTGAAAGTTGTATAAGTATCAATAAAGTCAGTAATGGAAGCCTGGACGTACTGAAAATAGTGATGTTATGCGGCGTATTTATTGAGTTATTGAATCATTACGTTTGAAGAATACAATTGGCACCGCAATATATAAGTATTGAGAGCTAAAAATGTCTTTATTTAAGAATGCTGTTTACACAAACGCGTCTATATCACATAGGTCAACCTTTGGAAATTTATAATGATTTTCGTTTGCAGTCAACAAGTTCATTTGCTGCAGTACAATGAAAGACTTTGGGGATTTGGGTTTGTGATAAACAAAGAGCATTAACATCCTCACATGCATGCATAAATCACATAGTTGTAGTACACTAAAAACTTTGAAGTTTTCGACATGATGCTGAGATTATTAGTACATTCATTTACTTTATAGCTATAAAAACGGCATAAATCCATTGAGAAAAATCCCTGTTATAATCACAGTTTTTGGTTTGACATAATTACTTGAAAAATATTCAACGCTAAATCTGAAAATTGCATTTACGTCCTGTGTTATGATTAAAATAAGATCTCTCTACACGTTCATATTATATCATCAAAATTTTCAATAAAACTGTCTTTGTCTTCACCTAAATATAGAGACTCTTCTTACACGATGAAGAACCTGTTGATTGTTGTATTGCTTTTGATTACTTGTGTCTTTATGCCCAAACATGGACAAGCAGTGAATGAACGTGATATCTCCTTCAAGAAAGTTTCTGAAAATACCCTACGTCTAATATTTCAAAGAGGGATTGCAGGAAGAAGTTTAAATGGTGGCGTGAGAAAAAAACGTGAAACAGAAGAAATGCCACTAGGACGACGACCTCCTATGGGAAAAAAACGTTGATCCACATTTGCATGTTGAGACTGCTATCACTGATAAGTTCATTAATGTATCTATTTAAACATATGTCTCTTTGTGTAAGGCTTCGTTATCTTTTTGAGTCTACTTTTGATATTATCCATTTAACATGAATAACTACAGCAATATAAAACAATTTGATTAACTACAGGCATAAGTATTTTAGACATGAATACCATCATGTATCGTTATATTCCAGTTTTAATTCCTCGTGTACTCATATTAAACAAATGTTCTTAAGTTTTGTGTCTAATTTTTTTATCTATGAATATTCATTCATGTATGAGGTCATTGAATTAGCCGAAATTTTAACAACAATA